GGGTGGAGGAAATGATTCAGCAAAGTCTGCAGCAAAGCCATTCTAAGGGCTTGGGGAGTTGGGGGGAGGGCGAGGGGGGGGATAGGTGAGTGCTTTTAGTTTAAGGCATTTTCCATCGGTCAGTACCTAGATTCCTTTGAAAACAAACACGGCTGGGCACTGGTGGCTCATGCCTAGCTACTCTGGAGGCCGAAATGTAAGGATCACATTTCAAAGCCAGTCTGGGAAGCCAAGTCCTTGAGACTCTTACTTCCAATAAAGTACCAAAAAAAACTAGCAATGGAGCTGTGGCTCAAGTGGTAGAGCACCAGCCTGCAGCAAAAGATGCTCAGGGATGGCACCAAGACCCTAAGTTCAAACCCCAGAACCAGCAAAAAATAAAGTAGACAAACAGTGCTACAAAGGAATAAATAGATAACAAATCAAGGCTGTCCATCTCTCCCTCTTGTCTCTTCAAAGCCAGAGTTAAGAGAACAGTGGAACCAGGAAATCTCTCAAAGGTACAATTTGGAAATAGGCAAAGAGAATAACCATGCCATGACTACATTTTAACTGAGTTATTAAATTTGGAAGAAAATGTATCAAGGAAATAAGCCCCAAAGAGAAAGACTCTACTAATTAAAAATTTAAAAAATCAATAAACAGGAGGCCTGTCAAATACTGTTTAGGGTTTGTGATTTTGCCCCATTGCAAGCTGACAAGCTGTCTTGCTCCTGTTTCCTAGATGATGGCAGAAGACATGATATTCCTTGGACTGAGACAAAGTTACTATGGGCAAAAGCTATAGCCAGAGCTTCATGTCTGTGTGTCTTATCCCCATGTTTCCTAAGGCCTGTGAATAGTAAAAAAAAAAAAAAGGTCCATGCTGAAATCCTGCCCAGCAGCAGGCTGCATCCTGGAAGGAGAGCACCAAATACACTTCAACAGTAGACTTTCCCACTTCCCAGAAGAAGAAGCCACCGCATCCATTAAGGCTTTCCACAAACCAGGCTCTGAGAAAGGCTGGGTTAATTAGCAGTGCTGAGGCGCCTCACCAGGATACTCACCAGGATACTCAGGCTTGTGGGTCTCCTCCCCCAACAACTCCTAATTTATTCACTCAATGAGCTCATTTGAATGTGTTAAATCACCAACTGTGCACCTGGCATAGAGCAGGATGCTAATATGGCAGGGAACAAATTTCCTGCACAAGAACAGCTAATGTTTTAGTGGGGAAGGCAGAGAAAAGGAAAGCAATTAAATAATATGATATCACTCCTGTGAGATGATGTAAAGTACCAGAAAACAGAGTAGGGGAAGAGAAAGTGCCCATGGACAGACCCAATTGGCAGGGAAGACCTATCTGGCATGGGATAGGGGAGCAAAGACCAGATGAAACCAGTAGATCAACCATGCCTGGAAGAGCATCCAGGCAGAGGGAAAAATACACACAATCCCCAGGAGACACGCAGTCACATTCAAGGCAGCAGGAGGGCAGTGTGGTTCGATTGCAGTCACCAGGAGGAGAGCAATCAAACATGAGGGGATATAAGTCCAAGAAGATGTGTAAGCATGGCAAAATAAACTCTTCTAAAAGACAAGCATGTAGACTTTTGATATAAAACTATTAAAACAATTATTCTGAACCCCTAGTTCAATGTATGGAGGGCGAACAGAATTGGAATGCCAGGGACAAACAGAATTGGAAGTCAGATCTGAGTCCTGCTATCTCTCTAAGCAAGTGTATTAGTCAACTTGAGCTGCTGTCACAAATTCCACTGATGGGGCTGGGAAGGTGGCTCAGTGGTAGAGCGCTTGCCTTGCATGCCTGAGGCCCTGGGTTTGATTCCTCAGCACCACATAAGAAAAAAGCCAGAAGTGGTGCTGTGGCTCAAGTGGTAGAGCCCTAGCCTTGAGCTGAAGAGCTGAGGGACAGTGCCCAGACCCAGAGTTCAGGCCCCACGACTGGACCCAAAGGAAAAAAAAATACCACTGATGGGATCCATTGCTCATTAAACAATAGATATTTCTGACAGTTCTGGTTCAAGATGTCAACTGATTCTGGTTCGTAAAAGGGCTGTCTTCCTGTCTTGTAGACAGAAGCCTTTCTGCTGCATCTTCACATGGTAGAAATAGTGAGCTTTCCAGTGTTTCTTCACTCTGCCCACTGGATTAGGCTCCTCTTTGGACCTCATTTAAATTTATCATCCCCTTATGGGCCTTATCTCTAAATATAGTCACATTGGGGATCAGGACTTCAACATATGACTTTCAGGGAAGAGTATGCAATTCAATCCATCGCATCAAGTTGGCAAAACTTTATATATATATTTTAAATCTGCAATTGAGAATGGCTCTTGAACAGGTTGCTAGTAAGTTTGATTGGAAGTGTGTGGGGGAAAAAACTATTTAGTTGAATCAACTATTTGAGAAATTAAAACTATGCAAAACCACAATGTTTAAAGAAGAGAACAATCTGAGGTCTACACTCAGAGTTTGTAAGAATAGGGATGCACAAACATGTTCACTGCAGCATTATTTATCATAGCTAAGCCACGGAACCAACGTAGATGTCCCTCAGTAGATGAACGGATCAAGAAAAGTGGCATATATACACAATGGAATTCTATGCTTCTCAGAAAGAATGACATCATCCCATTTGTAAGGAAATGGAAAGAAATGGAAAAATCATATTAAGTGAAGTAAGCCAGACCCAAAGAAACATATTCTGCATGGGTTTCTTCATTTGTACTAATTACTATATGTCTAGGATAGTCCTAGCAGAGGGTCACAATAGCTCAATAGCTATGTACATATGACCATATAACATGATGCTAATTAAAAAGAACTCCAAGATATGAAAACAAGAAGTTTTTCTTTGTTATTGTTTTTAATGTACTGTGTGAAGTTATTTCTTTTTTCTTTCATTTTCCCCCTGTGTTTTATCCCCTATTGTCACTGTATTTGACAATTTGTATACATTTATCAGAGTTGGGGAAGGGAAGGGGTACAACAAAATGGTGAAACAGGGGCTGGGAAGGTGGCTCAGTGGTAGAGCGCTTGCCTTGCATGCCTGAAGCCCTGGGTTGGATTCCTCAGCACCACATAAGCAGAAAAAAAAAAAGCCGGAAGTGGCACTGTGGCTCAAGTGGTAGAGCTCTAGCCTTGAGCTGAAGAGCTGAGGGACAGCGCCCTGGCCCAGAGCTCAGGCTCCCACGACCGGACCCCCCCCCAAAAAAAATGGTGAAACAAGGACAAAAGGTGAACCAAGGCGACAGTAATACTCACAAGACAATATGTTGGAAATGAACTTTACAGCTTGGGGGGGAGGGAGGGGGAATTGGAAGAAAAATGAGAGAGGAGGTAACAAGTTCAACAAGATGTACTCATTACCTTATATATGTAGCTGTAACCCCGCTGTACATCACCTTGACAATTAATTTTTTTTAAATGAAAAAAAAACAAAGAAGAAAATAGAGATCAGATTTTGCAATGTTTTCATAACCATACCCTATTTTTTAACAATCCTGAAAATAAGAGTAAAATTATTAAAAAATACAAATGTTCATATTGCACCAGTTGAATGCACAATGTGCTTTTTTTCTCTGTTCTAGTTCCTCTATATAGATTTTTCATGCCTAAAACTAGATTTTATTGGGCGAATTTCTCTTAACACTTCACGTTACTATATATTCTCTTCATAGTTGCACTTTTTATTTATACTGTTTATAACTTCTAGACTTTTGACAACTCAATCTCAGACAATTTTCTCAACTTCAGAAATGGAGATAATTGCAGGGCACACTGGTGGTTTTGACTGACTGATTTCATGATGTGGTTATAAAGTCTGAAGCTGGGTGTTAGGGACTCATGACTGTAATCCTAGCAACTCAGGAGGCTGAGATCTGAGGTTTGTGGTTCAAAGCCAGACTGGGCAAGAAAGTCCAGGACATTCTTATCTCTTGTTAATCAGGTCCCCCCTCCTCCCAAAAAAAAAGCCAAAACTGGAACGGTGGCTCAAATACTAAAATGCTAGCTTTGAGCAAAAACGCTCAGGGACAGCACTCAGGGTCTGTGTTCAAGGCTAAGGACTGGTACAAAACAAAAGTCTGAAACTTTTTTTGGTAGAAGGGGGTGTTGATAGAGGGTGAGGAGACTCATCGAAGGTTTTCTCCCTTTGCTCGAGGGTCTATAAAAATAACTAGGGGGCCAATACAGTCGTAATATTCAGTGTGCATATGTGAACATGGAACTGGGTAACTGTAGGGGAAGGGTAGGTTTGGGAGACATGGAGAATGAAGCAAGAGGGGACATGCTGATCAGGGTGCATCGTGCTCAAAAACGGATACGTTGAACTGAAACCCCTTTGTACAACTACTTCGTGATAATTCTAAAAATAAAAAATAAAACCAAAAGCAGTTATTGAAAAGCAAATAAATCCATCACTCCTGGGTTGGGGGCGTAGCTCAGTAGTAGAGTACTCCACCCTCAGATCTTAGCATGCCAGAAGCTGAGTTTATGTCCTCTGCAGGGCAGAAACAACACCCACACCTCAACTCTCCCAACTTGGAAGACTTAGTCTTCCAGTGCGTGGGGGTGGGGGTGGGGGCGTCGGGGGAGGGTGGGATGGTGGGAAGTTGGGTGTGTTGGGGGTGAGACTGGAGCTGGCGCAGAGGTTGGCACTACCTCGGTCTCCAGCTCTCTGCCTAAATGCTCGGTAGCGCGCTCCTTCTTTCCTTTCCCTCCCTCCCTCCCTCCGTCCCTCCCTCTCCTTTCTCTTTCTTTCTCTCTTTCTCTCCTTTCTTTCTCTCTCCCTTTTTTCTTTCTCTTTTTTCTCTCTCTTTCTCTCCTTTCTTTCTATCCCTTCTTCCTTTCTTCCTTCCTTTCTTTCTTTCTTTCTTTCTTTCTTTCTTTCTTTCTTTCTTTCTTTCTTTCTTTCTTTCTTTCCTTTTCTTTCTCTTTCCCAGGGAGTGAGCTTCCCAGGTGGAGCGTTCGGGCAGAAGTGCTCAGAACCGGCAGGGATGGAGCCAGATGGAGGGAGTTTGCCATTTACAAACTCCAACACCGGGGTCTGCCACTTGGCAGACAGACCACTTGGCACGGGGGAAAAACCAACACCCACTCTGTCCGGGACGAGGTGGGGCTGGATGCCCTCAGTACCTGCCCAGGGCTGGCCCGCCGGCCACAGGGACCTGCGGAGGTGGCGGTTAGGAAATCCCTCCAGGATTTCTGGAGTGCACTTCCATCCTCTCCGTCCGCGGAGACGGGGAGACCCGCGGGGGCCTGAGCTGCGGGCCCGGCTGACCGCGGTGCGTTCCCCAAGGCGCCCCGCCCCGCAGCTCTCCGGGACCCAGACCCGGAGCCCCGCAGCTCCGACTGCTGCAGGGGGTGGGGGTGGGGCAACGCTGCAAGCCCCGCCCCCGTGCGGGCCCCGGGACCTCGCCTGCCTGCGGTCCGCTCCCCCTCGGGACTGCGCGCCTAGTGGGGCTGCACTGGAAGAATCCTGCGCTCTCCCTCCCGCTCCCTCTTTCCTTTCCTTTATTGGGAAATAGAGGATGCGCCGGAGAGCAACTGCAGCCCAACAGAGGAACCCGGACCGAGCGACCTAGACCCGTTTCTGATCTTCCAGATCTTTCAGATCTTCGGGGCTCACAGTGACCCCCTCCCTCCCCCGCCTACGTGTCCACCTGCGGGGTCCAGGGCCCGAGCCCGCGCGCGCCATGGAAGCCGCTAACCTCTCGGCGGCCACCACAGTTCCCCTGGAACCTGAGCCCCACGGCGGGGGCCCGGACGGGGTGGCGGGGTCGTCCCACGGCGGTGCCGTCCCGCCTGGCCGCGCACCCGCGTTCTCGGTCTTCACCGTGCTGGTGGTGACGCTGCTGGCGCTGCTGATCGCCGCCACGTTCCTGTGGAACCTGCTGGTCCTGGTCACCATCCTGCGCGTCCGCACCTTCCATCGCGTGCCGCACAACCTGGTGGCCTCGACGGCCATCTCGGACGTGCTGGTGGCAGCCGTGGTGATGCCGCTGAGTCTGGTGAGCGAGCTGTCGGCGGGGAGGCGGTGGCATCTGGGCCGAAGCCTGTGCCACGTGTGGACCTCCTTCGATGTGCTGTGCTGCACCGCCAGCATCTGGAACGTGGCGGCCATCGCGCTGGACCGCTACTGGACCATCACGCGCCACCTGCAGTACTCGCTGCGCACCCGGCGCCGCGCTTCGGCGCTCATGATCGCGCTCACCTGGGCGCTGGCGGCGCTCATCGCGCTCGCGCCGCTGCTCTTCGGCTGGGGCGAGGCGTACGACGCCCGGCTCCAGCGGTGCCAGGTGAGCCAGGAGCCCTCCTACGCTGTCTTCTCCACCTGCGGCGCCTTCTACCTGCCGCTAGGCGTGGTGTTGTTTGTCTACTGGAAGATCTACAAGGCGGCCAAATTCCGCTTCGGTCGCCGCCGCCGCCGGGTGCTGCCGTGGCCCGCCGCCGCCGCCGCCGGGCAGGTGAGGGTCCCATGTGTTACTGCGGGTGGGGATCAGGGTGGATCCGGGACCCTATCCGGGAGGAGAAAGTCTAGGGGAAGGGAGAGCGGGCGGAAGCTTGCCCGCGGTCTCCAGCGCAACAGCCCGGGCGCCAGGAGAATTTGCCATCTGCTTTTCCGAAGAGCTCATGGACTGGTCTGTCCATGGCGCACGTCTGGTGGGCCAGCCGAGGGTTGCCACCTGCGTGGGGTGTGTGCCGCGGAATAGGATTCGTCACCCGCACGCGAGGGCTGAACCACACACAGGACATATTGTTTGCGGGCGCGGCCTTTCTCCACAATGCTGGGGGCGCATCCAGCCCGCCGCGTTCTCCCTGACCTCCCGCCCCGTCCGACTTGGGTTCAAATCAGGCCTGGAAACACCCACTGTTGGGTTCTGCCGAGGCCGGACCTTGCAAGGACAGTGATTGGCTGAAATTAGACTTGATTTAGATGGGAAATTCCTCTGACCTGTATTATTAGTTTGTCTCCACCCTACCCTATTCTATTCCCTGCAGTCTGGTGAATCAACAACTCTACCTGCTGCTTCCCTGGTCAAAGGAAACAGGGAAGATTAAAACAAACAAAAATCCAAAGTGTCACTGGGCGCTGGTGGCTTGCTCCTGTAATCCTAGTTACTCAAGAGGCTGAGATCTGTGGTCCATGGTTCGAAGCCAGCCCAGCAGGAAAGTCCATGAGACTCTTATCTACAGTTAGCTATTAAAAAAAAAAAAGGCCAGAGTGAAGCTGTGGTTCAAGTGGTAGAGTTCAAGCGAGCACTCGCTAGCCTAGAGCACGAAAGCTCAGGCCAGTGCCTAGGCCACTGAGTTCACATCCCAGACACCCCCTCCCTCCCCCCGCCAATACTCTGTCATTTTCATTTGGTTATCTCAATGGTGAGGATATCCTCTAGTGATTTTGGAGAAAAGTTAAAAGAGTAGGTTACAATCCCAGCTTGAGACATCTGCTTAATTTACCTGTGCTTTATTTCTTTTTTAAACAAGTGAATTCTTGCTTCATACAGCCTTTGGTGAAGATCCTACTAGATGAGCAATGTAGGACACCTAACCTAGTATCTGGCACATGCTGGGTGAAGAAGTTGGCTAGAGAAAAATTAAGAGGATATTGACCGGCATTGTCTAAGGAATGGAAGCTTCCATTGGACATGTAATGAATTAAGGAGTTGCATTTGTAAGGTCGCTGATATTCTCTGTGGAGCTTTCTACCTTTTGGCCAGTATCTAAGCTATGCTCAGCTACCACCTTATCCTGGAGACCCGAACTTTGCTTTTTGGGAGTCAGTTGTTCCAAGCAGTAACCTCCCGTTCTGGAGCACAGACGGATTTATTTCACACACCCCAATTTTTTTTTTTTGGTCATGCGGCTTGAACTCTGGGCCTGAGCACTGACCCTCAGCTCTTCAGCTCAAGGCTAGCACTCTACCACTTCAGCCACAGTACCACTTCTAGCTTTTTCTGCTTATGTGGTGCTGAGGAATCAAACCCAGGGCCTTGTGCATGCAAGGCAAGCACTCTACCACTGAGCCACCTTCCCAGCCCCCAATTTTTTTAAAAAAAATACGTTATTTATTGTAAAAAATATTGTACAGAGGGGTTACCAGTTACATGAGTAAGGTAATGAGTACATTTCCTAATGAGCATTGTTACCCCCTCCTTTGTTTTTCCCCTACCATCCCTTCCCTCCCCGCCTCTCCAACTCCCCCCTTCCCACAAGTTGTAAAGTTCGTTTTCAACATAGTGTTTTGTACATCTCATTGTTACAATGGGTCAACCTGTATCCCTATTTAAGCATTTTCTTTTTTCCTTTCCCCTCCCAAAATTAGAAAAGTGTATATACAAGATGCAGGGCACCAGAATCAAATACAGGGAAAACAGGGTTTATAACATGGGGAAAGAACATGCAAAAGAAACAAAAAAAGTACATTATAAGTACGTTAAAAACAATAGCAAGGAAGAAAAAAACCACTTATGTACCTGTCTTGGGGTTCCCTTTTGGCCACATCCCCTTCCGCATCTGTTGTTATTAGAGTTCTTGATTAGAGCCATTCTAACTGGGGTCAGGTGGAATCTCATTGTTGTTTTGACTTGCTTTTCTTTTATGGCTACAGAAGTTGAGCATTTCTTCATGTGTCTATTGGCCATTCTTATTTCCTCATCAGATAAGTTTCTCTTTAAGTTTATAGCCCACTTATTTATCGAGCAGTTGTTTCTTTGATAATTTCTTGTTGGGAGAATTTAATTTTTTGAGTTCCAAGTATATGTTAGATATGAGACCCTTGTCCATTGTATGGCTAGTGAAGATCTTCTCCCAGTCTGTGGGCTTTCTATTGATCTTGCTAGCTATGTCCTTTGCTATGCAGAAGCTCTGAAGTTTCATGCAATCCCATTTGTCCAAACTTTCTTTGATTTGTTGCACACACCCCAATTTAAAATACAATACATGGGCTGGGTAAGGGGTGCCGAAGAGTATAGACAGGGAAAAGGTCTAGTTGCTATTAGTTTTGATTTCAGAAAATTAACCCAGATACTTAGGCTACCAGACCAGCACATGCACTTTAAAAAGCAGGCTTAAAAAAAATTAAATGGTAGAGGAATTTTTAACATAAAATAGGGATGTCATGAGTATAATTAGAAAGAGACGGGAAGGAGAGCTTTATTCAAAATTAATGATATTCATTTAAAGGTCTCTCGGAAATGCCTGTGGTGATTATAGCTTTCTGTCTGATTGCCAAAGTAAGACTGACTTTTAATAACTACATCAAACCAACAGACACCACCCATAGAAATCAGAGGGAAGTGGACACCAGAAATCTTTACCAATATGATTTTCCTGGTCATTTTGGGCAGATTCCATCCAGGAATCTGAATGAGGCAGGTGGCCTAAAGAAGAGATGAATGGGTAGAAGGATGACAGTCATGAATGGCTCATGATAGGAAGGAAGAGCTTTAAGGGGAGGGGCAATGATGGCATTTAGCCACTCCTGGCATGTTACCTGGGGCAAGCTCTTCTTGCTCTGGTCCTTAACGTTTTATCTATCATTGGGCTTGAACCTCAAACTCACTTAGCTTGCTCAGAGCTGGTGCTCTACCACTTCAACCACACATCCAGCTCGGCAGTTTTGCTAGTTAAGTAGAGATGGATTTTGGAAGACTTTTCTGCCTAAGCTGTCTTTGAACTTCTATCCTCCAGAGCTCAGCCTCCTGAATGTAACTAGGATTATAGGTGTGAGCCACAAGTGCCTGTTGGCCTCAACTTCTGTAATACACAGAACTGGTCTGTAACATCTGAGAGACTTGGGTCACAGGAAGCTGAGATGGTTAATGAAATAGAGCTCCTCATTTTGGTGGGGGGGGTTACCATCAAAGCCTCACTCAAAATCCTGTGTAATGTTTTGGAGTCAGCATTTGCAAGTCCTCTGGCTATACAACACCAAAAACAGATGTTTAAAATAATGTGCCAGGAAATGTATTTCTGTATTTCCCCCACCTGCACACCAGAGGAAAGGATGATGAATTGGATTTTGGTGCTGTGAAGTGTCTATATTACTTTGAGAGGGTGGCAGAGGTCTCTTGATGAAGCTATATATATCCTTCATCTTTTTGTTTGTTTGTTTGTGTCAGTCGTGGGGCTTGAACTCTGGGCCTTGGCGCTGTCCCTTAGCTCTTCAGCTCAAAGCGAGCATTCTGCCACTTGAGCCACAGCGCCACTTTCTCATCTTTTTTTTTTTTTTCTCTCCAGAATTCCATGGCTAGGTCCCAACTTGAAAATAGTATCAGAAAAGTGTCTTACTGTTCTTGGGTCATGATCTGGCCTTCAGAAAATACAAAATTTGAAAGTATGAAGGATTAAGAAAGCTGTATAGAGTAAATTTTGCTTTCCAGGCACTGTGTTTGATGTTTGGTATTTGATGTTCACCTGTGACTGAATGGTCATGATCATGGTCCAGCACAGTTGTCATCCTCAGCCTCTGTTAGGATAAGTTATCATGGGCTGCAGTAATGTACTACTCCCCATCTAGAAGAAGGTGATGTCACTCTCATACTAAGTTCAGTGTGGGTCTGGTAGCTCTCCTGCATAACTCTCTTGCAGACAGTAAGACATGGATTTACTTTTTAAACTATGATATCTAGTATAGGTGGCTTCCAAAGCTGATGGGGAAAGAGAGCTGTGGAGATAGATCAGCTTGTAACCGTCTTCTCCTGGATTTAACATGCAGCCAGCAGGCGGAAAAACTGATTTGTACCAGATCCAAAGTCTCTATGTTCTTTTCATTACTTCATGCTGTCAACAGGCATTTGACTTCTGAGAACTGTTCCTCTCACCTGCAGAGGAATGAGGCAGTGTAGCCCAATCAAGATGGGTTACAGGGAACAGGCTCTCCAAACTATTCACACCAACTTCACCTTTCCAGCAGAGCTAAATAGAGCAGAGCACAGACATACTGTCAGCGTCTCTCAGTGAACAAACTCAATTCCTGGCCTGGCTGGCTTATTCCTACCCTTCCTTTCCCTCCCTCCCTGACCTTTTCCTCCCGCCTCCCTCTTTCTCTTTCTCTTTTTCTATCTCTTTCTCTTGCTCCCTCCCTCCTATACTTCTTTTATCTCCCTCCCTTCCTCCCTCCCTCCCTCCCTCCATTCCTTCCTTCCTTCCTTCCTTCCTTCCTTCCTTCCTTCCTCTCTTTTTCTATGTGCCATTATTAGGGCTTGAACTCAGAGCCTGGTGCTGCACTGAGCTCTTTCACTGAAGGCTGGTACTCTACTACTTGAGCCATAGCTCCACTTCTGTTGTTTTGGTGCTTAACTGCAGATAAAAGTCTCATAGACTTCACTGCCTGGGCTGTAGCTGGTATTACAGATGTGAGCCTAGTACCTGACCCTTCCTTTCATTTTTAACTAATTAATGTTTGGTTTTCCCCTTTTAAATTCAATTTAAAATTTGAATTAGCATACATTAGAAATATAAC